TCTGTAAATCTTCACCCAAATCCTAATAAAAAAAAATAAATAAAAAATATTTGAATACTACTTAATGACATGGCTAAAGATCCTTAGTAGTGTATCAAGAGGGAAAAATATCTGAATACAAAGTGATATATAGAGAGTGACTCCAATTTTGGGAAAAGAACATAATATACATATGCACAGAAAAAAGACAAAAAGAATATATGCCAATAGTTAAGAGCAGTTACCTCTGGATTGTGATATTTTTGTTTCCTTTCTATTTTTTCTGTTGTCCAAATTTTCTACAAATATTTTTTCTTATATTTAGAGAAAATATATTTCAAAACTACGCATGCATGGTCAGTTAAGCAGAGATACAAACAATCAAAATAATTCATTTAAATACTTTAAAAACCTGTTATAATGGGTTACCCCCACTTCTTATGAACAGCAAATACCTGATTCTTCTTTTTGAAACCACTGATTGCAATTTGATGGTTTCTGTGGGGTTAACAATCTAAAATACAAAAAATAGAATTTTATATTATTTGTTGAGCTACTATTTATAAATTTTTTCAAAAGTTAAAGCATTTTCTTATTTTTAAAATTACCTGAATTGCATGAAATTCTTTGAACTTTGAATAGTTGGAACATGTGAATATTTTTTATTCACAGAGTCATTAAATACCTGAACCAAAAAAATTAAGCATTAGAATTAGCTACACAAAACAATTTAAAAGTTTGGTTGCCATAGCTACTCAGGGTTCTCTCATTTCATTAACATTGTCATTCTCGTGATCGTCATCAATATCAACAACTACAAACACTAACTGAAAGCACTACATACAAAACATTAGTCAAATATTGCAAGACAAAGTTGAAGATCCTCAAGAAATCTGACATAAGTATAAACAACTATGAGTGGTACTATTTCTAGATTAAGGTAAACTTTTAAAAATTCTTTCCCATGTTCTTGATTAATCAAGTGAATCTTATCATTTTCCTGACCTGATTCTTGTACATTTTCTTTAACCTCTTAAATTGAGAATAGGAAAGCAAAACAATGGGTTAAAAGATTAAAGCTTGAAACTTTTTTTCATACTTATGAAAGTACTAATATTTTTACCTTTAATTAAATTTTATTTAATATTAATATTTAAGCCACTGCTCTATTAATGTTGGCACTGTCTAATTCACCTTTCTCCTTGCTTTATTTTGAAGGATCTTTGATTTTTGTTATTTGGCAAAAAATGAAAATTTTTTCATTTTAAAAGGTAATTTATCCCATTTATTTTTTTTTGTAACAGACATTGGTCCTAATTTTGTCATTTTATTTGCTTTATATCATAAGAAAAAGTTGTTAACTTCCCTTCAAGAACAAGCATATTCAGTATTTTGATATATGTTTTAAACAATAAGCCTGTTTGTACCTGTCTGCTGATGCACATATTTAAGTATTTATTTACAGCTGTTGTTGTTCTAAGGTGCCATTGAGTTGGCTCCAATTCATAGTGACCCTATGTACAACAGAACGAAACACTGCCCAGTCCTGTGCTGTCCTCACAATCCTTACTATACTTAAGCCCATCATTGCAGCACCATGTCTGTCCATCTCATTGAGGGCCTTCCTCTCTTTCATTGACCTTCCACTTTACCAAGCATGACATCCTTCTGCAGGGAATGGTCCCTTCTGACAACATGACCAAAGCAGTTGAGACCAAGTTTGGCCATTCTCACTTCCAAGGAAGAGCTCGCCTGCACTTCATCCAGGACAGATTTGTTAGTTCTTTTAGCAGTCCATGGTACTTTCGGCATTCTTCGCCAGCACCACAACTCAAAAGCATCAACTCTTCTTCAGTCTTCCTTATTCACTGTCCAGCTCTCACATGCATATGAGGTGACAGAAAATACCATAGCTTGGGTTAGGTGCACCTTGGTCGCCAACACGACATCTTTGTTCCTTAACACTTTAAAGAGGTTTTTGGCAGATTTCCCCAGAGCAATATGATGTCTGATTTCTTTACTGCTACTTCCATGGGTGTAGATTGTGGATCCAAGTAAAATTAAATCCCTGACAACTTCCATCCTTTCTCCATTTATCATGATGTTGCTTATCAGTCCAGTTGTGGGGATTTTCATTTTCTTTATGTTGAGGTATAATCCATACTGAAGACTGTAGTCTTTGATCTTCATTAGTAAGTGCTTCAAGTCCTCTTTACTTTCAGCAAGCAAGGTTCTGTTATCTGCATATCACAGGTTGTTAATGGTTCTTCCTCCAATCCTGATGGCACGTTCTTCATATAGTCCAGCTTCTTGGATTATCTGCTCAGCATACAGACTGAATAAGTATGGTGAAAGGACACAACCCTGATGCACACCCTTCCTGATTTTAAACCATGCAGTATCCCCTTGTTCTGTTCATACAATAACCTCTTGGTCTATGTACAGATTCCTCATAAGCAAAGTTAAGTGTTCTGGAATTCCCATTCTTCGCAATGTTATCCATAATTTGTTGTGTACACACAGTCAAATGCCTTCGCCAAAAAGTGAAACTGCTAGTTAAATACATTTTTATTTTCAGTAAGTCCAGTGAACCACCCCTCCAAAGCAGTTGTATCTAGTTATATTATCTCTATTCTTGACCACACCAGACTTTGTCAAACATTTTAATGCCTGCAAACCAGATAGGTGAAACCAGGCAGCTTGTTGGATGAATCTGCATTTCCTTGTACTCTTAGGGCAGGGAATCTTGTTATATTTAGTGACTCTTTGCCTTTTCTTTTCTGTACATTGCCTTCTCATGCTTTGTTCATTTTTTTCTCTCTCTTTATTTGTAAGAATAAAGTATTTGTAAGATATTATGTATCTCTTTATGTACCATATATTCTAGATTCCAATATTTTGCCCATTCTGTCATTGTCTTTTAACTATGTTAGCATCTTTTCTTAATGTCATCTAAAAGATTTTTTGTTTTTATGTAGTCCATTGATCAATCTGCTAACCAGAGGCTGGCAGTTCAATCCCACCAGCCGCTCCTCAAAAGGAAGGTTAGGCAATCTACTTCATAGTGATACCACCTCGGAAACCCAAGGAAGGGTTGCTATGAAGTGGATCTGATTTGATGGCAGTGAGAGAGAGAGAGAGAGCCATCACAGTTATAATTATTGTGTTTTGAGGTTCCCAAATATTCTGGGTGATAAAAATGTTTTGGAATTAATGGTGATGACTGTACAACCTTGTGAATATATAAAAACCACAGAATTGTACACTTTAAAATGGTGGACTTTATACTATGTGAATTATACCTCAATAAATACTTAAAATAAGCATTTTGATACCTGATAGTCCAACCATCCCTCTTTAACATTCTTTTAAAATTCTTTTGCTTTTCATTTTCTAATGCTGGACCATCACTCTATTCCTTAGGATAACCATAGCTGGTCATGATCTTGTTGTTGTTGTTGTTGCTGTTAAGTGCCATCGAGTAGTTTCCGACTCATAGCGACCCCATGCACAGCAGAACGAAACACTGCCCGATCCCACGGCCGCCCCACAATCCCTGCTATACTTGAGCCCATCATCGCAGCCACCATGTCAATCCATCTCGTTGAAGGCCTCCCCCTCTTTTGTCGACCCTCCACCCTACCAAACATGACATCCTTCTCCAGGGAATGGTCCCTTCTAACAATGATTCCTCATGATATGGTCATGATCTTATATTATATTATATCATATTTCATATAGCATTAGTGCCTAAAGCACTTGACTGCTAACCAGAAGGCTGGCGGTTCAAACCCACCAGCCACTCCTCGGAAGTAAGGTTGGGCAATCCTACTTCTGTAGTGATACTGCCTCGGAAACCCAAGGAGGGGTCACTATGAGTCAGGGCTGACTCGACGGCACATAACAACAACAACAAATTATGTTTTTAATGCTACATTGCTAAATTTGGTTTGTTAATATTTTATTTAGTATTTTTACATCTATGTTAATTCTTGATACCGACCTATACTTTTTCTTCTCTTTCACTATCCTTTGTTAGTAACCCACCACTCATCTGTCAGTATGTTATACTGCAGTGGCTTGCATAATGCTGTGAGGCTAGAAGCTCTGCCACTGGTATTTCAAATACCAGCAGGGTCACCATGATACCCAATTTTCAGCAAAGCTTCCAGACTCAGACAGACTGGAAAGGACAGGGCCATTCACTTCTGAAAAAACCTGGCCACTGTAAACCTTACGAATGGCAGAGAAACAATGATACATTTCTGGAAAACTTGATGAATAGTCCTAAAACAATATCTGATACAGTCCCCAAAGATGAGCCCCTCAGGTTGGAAGGCACTCAAAATACAACTGGGGAAAAGCTGCCTCCTCAAAGCAGAGTTGACCTTAATGACATGGGTGGAGTAAAGGTTTCAATTGCTGATGGAGCATGGCTCAAAATGGGAAGAAACAGCTGCAAACGTTCATTAGAAATTGAACATGGAATGTATGACATATGAATCTAGGAAAATTGGAAGTTGTGAAAAATGAAATGGAACAGATAAAGATTGCTATTTAGGCACTCGCGAGCTGAAATGGACTGCTATTGACCATTTTCAATCAGAGAGTCCAATAATCTACTATGCTGGGAATGACAAACTGAAGAATAGTATTGCATTCATGGGCAAAAAGAGTATCTCAAGATCTATTCTGAAGTACAATGCTGACAGTGATAGGATAATATCCATATGCCTACAAGACCAATTATTCAAATTTGTACACCAACTACTAAAGCTAAAGACGAAGAAATTGAAGATTTTTATCAAATTCTGCAGTCTGAAATTAACCAAACATGCAATCAAGTTGTATTGAAATTTACTGATGACTGGAATGTGAAAGCTAGAAACAAAGACAAATGATCAGGAATTGGAAAATACTGCCTTAGTGGTAGAAATGACTCCACAGATTGCATGACAGAATTTTGCAAGACCAATGACTTATTCATTGCAAATACCTTCTTTCAACAACATAAACAATGGTTACACAGACTATACATGTGGACCTCGCCAGATGGAATACAAAGAATTCAGACTGATTACAACTGTGGAAGGAAGCAATGGAGAAGCTCAATATCATCAGTCAAAACAAGGCCAGGAGCTGATTGTGGTACAAACCATCAATTGCTCATATGCAAGTTCAAGTTAAAAGAAATTAAAACAAGTTCACAAGAGCCAAAATATGACCTTGATTATATCACACCTGAATTTAGAGATCAATTGAAGAATAGATTTGAAACACTGAACACCAATGATAGAAGACCAAACGAGTTGTGGGATGACATTAAGAACAGCATACTTGAGGAAAACCAACGGTCATTATAAAGTCAGGAAAGGAGGAAAAGATTAAAAAAGAATGTTAGAAGAGACTCTGAAACTTGTTCTAGAACGCAGAGTAGCCAAAGCGAATGAAAGAAATGCTGAAATAAAAAAATTGAACAGAAGATTTCAAAGGGCAGCTCAAGAAAACAAAGTAAAGTACTATAATGAAATGTTCAAACACCTATAGTTAGAAAACCAAAAGAGAAGACGACACGCAGCATTTCTCAAGCTGAAAGAACAAAAGAAAAAAAAATCAAGCCTTGGGTTGCAATACTGAAGGATTCTATAGGCAAAATAGTGAGTGACACAGGAAGCATAAAAAGAA